CGCCGGGGCCTTGGGCATGTCTGGACGGGCCGGGGGAGGAGGGAGGACGCAGCGTCCGGAATCCACCGGGGAGAGGGCAGCACACGCGCCAACCGCCCCCAAGACAAAGAGTGGAGCCCGCTTGGGAGGCTCCCCACCGCTAGCTGCCGCTGCTGCCGTCCCTATTATTCGACATTTCCAGTTATCTGACCATCCTCCGGTCGCGTTTAGGTCGGATAACCAAGACTTTACTGTAGATAAAATCAAAGTAAATAAAATAGTTGCCAAATTCAGTCCTTATGTAAGTGGATGTGATCCCCATTGACATCAGTGACAATGAAACTTATTCCAGAGCTGAATTCATTTCAGGGAGCTGCCAACTTAAGAAAAGCTAAAAGTCCTGATTCTCAGTTACAGGCGCAAGCTCCTTTAGGTGACTCTGGCAGTACATGAGAATTCTCTGAGAATTCAATCCTGATCAAGATGTGCTAGTGACTTCAGTGGGAGCAGGATCAGTCTCTTTTAAATTACAAACTCCACTCATTACTGTCTTCTGGAAGTCGACTATGGCTATGTCTACACTACAGAGTTTTTCCCGGGGTACCAGAGGTATCCTGGAAAAACTCTGCCACGTCCAGGGAACATGTCCGCACTTTTGGAAGAGTTTCCGAAAAAGCAGGCATGCTCTTTCAGAAGCTCTGTATTCCTCATTTTATGAGGAGTAAGGGCTCTTCTGAGAGGAGGTTTTTCCTCACATTTGGCTTTGTATAGACGGGCCAAATGTCGGAAAAGCCTCTTCCAAAAAACAAAAAAGCGGAAAAAGATCACAGTGTAGACATAGCCAGTGTGAGCTTACTTTACCAGTTCTAATAACCTGGGAGGTGTTCAGATACTGTGGCTAATCATCATGCCAATGCAAAATCCTTCCAGAGATCAACTCATGATAACACTAAGTAAAGCCTGATAACCGTATATAGGTGAAAAGGGCAAAGGTCATATAGGGATGAGGGACATGCAAGTACCTACATAGACAAATGTAACTTTGGGAAATGAAATGTTGAAGATGGTCCCTTCAATTATCTTTTTTCTCCCTTGTCCCTCTGTCTTTCTACCTGCAGGAATCTCTCTGTTGGTTGTGGTAGCTTCAGTTTCCCTCAAGCACTGTGTCATCTTACAGTCCAATTAAGCTCAAAGTACTGAATTAACAAATTGATGCACTATCTCTTTCCCACCGTGAATCTCTGTTCACTTCTGTCATGTATCTTTAACCAGATTTTCTTTAAAAGACTTGGGCTGTTATTAAACAAGACTACAAGGAATAAAGAGTGCAAAACAGTATTTTCAAGTCTAAGGCTCCAGACAACTTAGTTCAGCTCAACCTAGTGTTGATTCCAGTGTTGTCTACAGTTGTTTTGTGATTGCTTAGCCCATGCTAGAGTTTAAGAAGACCCACTGTGATTGATACTAGGCAGCAAAAACTGTATTTAGTCTGGGAGCTAGAGATAGGGAGAACATACATTGTCTTGTCTGTGTCCATTAGCTGCCTGAAAGAATCCCTGAAAGAATTAAGGTAAACTTAATTACAAAGGAACCCTGAAGACATAAGACCCTTTTGCATGATAGTCACATGAGTTTGTAGCTCATAGGTATACACAGAAAATATTAACCATTCAGCTTCAGGTTTAAAATATTAACACCCATCTAACCATTGAACAATTGATTTTAGGATCAATATTTTTCTGGTCACACACATCTGTTGGCTGATGTATCAACCATTGGTTTGTAGCCTGTTTTTTTTTGGGGGGGGGGCAGTCTTTTTACAACTTCTTGCTTTCAGTCTTTTCAGGGCAATTTACTACTTTTGGAGTTCAGTTTTCCTTCTCTCCTCACTCTTATAGTCCAGATTCATGAAGCTCTGAACTTCATCAGCTTTTTCCTAACATTTCTTCCAAAAGGACCTCATCATGCCCTGTGTGTTTCTACAGCTCTGAGTCTTAATCTCCCACTGTGACTCCGTTTTACAAATGCCTCTGTATTTAAAAGAATTGGTTATGCCAAAAAGGTTTATAGAAGCTGGCCTGAGTTGAGCTTATTACTTCAAATTGGATTTGATTTGTGTGTCTCTGAATGAGGGACAAAGGGGAGGGACCTGTATAAAGGGAAACATTCTAGCATTGTTTCTTGATGATCACAGTAGCATTATATTTAGTCTCCTTTGCAAAGCACTGAGAGATCTATAAACAAAAAGTTCTGCATACCACTGAAGTTGTTTTAGTTGTCTGTATAGTCTAAGCTTTCTGTTTGGGCTCCAATGGTCTCTTACTTTCATACTGTCAAGACCCTTTGCTTTTATTGTGCCTTAAAATGTGGCTTGTAGCTTATATCTTTAATGGACTTGATTCTATGTAAGTTTTTGCCTACCCTGCCACCTCACTGGAGTGATGTGAGACTTAACTCATTAATGTATGTAAAGCACTTTGAAAACCTTGGAATGGATGTGCCACAGAAGTGCAAAGCACTATTTTTTTTTTAAATGAGATGGTCTACAGTGGCTGTATTCTCTGTCAAGGCTAGTTCTCTGACTTCTAAATTCATGGATATAAGGCACTTTGAGATGTTTGGATGGACAATGCTATGTAACATTATTTTATTTACAAGCTCACGAAAATCAATGCACCAGCAGCCACAATGTCCTTTAATTTAACTTCCCACACCTTTCTATTTGATAAAATAAGCATAGGGATCCCTCAAGTGTTTAATGGTCAGTTTTATGCATTTATAGATGGGTTTGACTGCAGCTAAAAATGTCCATGATGTACAATAGGTTGTTTTTAGCTGGATTTTAAAAGAAAATAACTTTGATCATTTCAAAAGCAGTGAAGCCTGATGCTCCAGTGAGAAAGGAAGGCAGTACTTTATGGCTACCATTAAGGAGACAAAAACAAAGATGGAGGGAAAGTTTCACTAAGCGAAGATTTATCAATGTATATAAAACACACTTACAACTGGGAGAAATACCGGGTCATTTCTAGAACAAAAGGAAAGAGGAGGGGGAAGAAGGAGATACAGCTTGTCTGCCTGCCTTCACTGGGCATAGAGAGGTAAAAGGAAGAACAAAAAAAACATTTTTTTTGACCAAATAAGTCTTTGTTTCCAAATACTTCTGACTGCAGAGGGAACCAGCTCTGGGAAGGTGTCAGTAATCTCTGGTTTAGTAAAAGGGTTATGGATGTATGGGGGCCTGCCTCATTACAATCTGTGTGCAACAGGGGTCTACCTCTGTATTTTGCACAGGATTGATTGAGCATAGTTAGCATGTAAATAAAAACAACAAAACCCTGAGGGTGTATGTGTTGCGTGCATGTGTTCATGTGCAGTGCTTCTGTATATGGATGAAGCAAAATGCAGGACAATGTAGCACTTTAAAGACTAACAAGATGGTTTATTAGATGATGAGCTTTCATGGGCCAGACCCACTTCCTCAGATCAAATAGTGGAAGAAAATAGTCACAACCATATAAACCAAAGGATACAATTTTAAAAAATGAACACATATGAAAAGGACAAATCACATTTCAGAACAGGAGGGGGATGCGGGGGGGGGGGGAGGAAGGAAGGTAAGTGTCTGTGAATTGATGATATTAGAGGTGGGGAGAGGGGGATGTTTGTGAGTTAATGGGGTTAGAGGTGATAATTGGGGAAGCTATCTTGGTAATGGGTAAGATAGCTTGAGTGTTTGTTCATTCCTTTTTGGAGAGTGTCGAATTTTAACATGAATGACAGTTCAGAGGATTCCCTTTCAAGTGCAGATGTAAAAGGTCTTTGTAGCAGAATGCAGGTGGTTAAGTCATTGAGAGAGTGTCCTTTCTGGTTAAAATGGCAAGAAACTGTTTTTTCTTTGTGATCTTGTCTATCTGTTTTAGAAACACTATCCCAGAGGACACTACTGCCAACCTGATAGCAGACCTATGTAACTTTGTTTTCACCCACAATTATTTCCAGTTTGAGAACAACTTATACCTCCAGATCAGCGGCACAGCCATGGGTACCCGCATAGACTAACACGGCTACATTTCTATCACTATTCTGTATATGGATGTGAGTTGTATGTAACATGAATAGGTACAGCGTGTGTGTGCATTGAACCTTTTGGATGTTTGCATCGGTTTGATTACATTGGGAATGAAACAACATTTTGGGCCTTTCAGAAAATGAATGAGGAGACAGTTTTTCTCTGGCTACATGTGCAGCTGAAATCTTTTCAGCACCATTTTAGCTGCACCTATTTCTTTGACACCCATTGTCAAGGCCTAGGGAGGTGAGTGGAGTTTGAGTATACCAGCAAGGAATGTTTGGGGAGGAGAGCTGGCACGTGGGCATGGGTATTATGTGGGTGTGTGTAACTGAAGGGCTGTGCAGGATGATTGTGTGGTTTCTGGATGTGTGTCCTAGCAGGTGTTTCTGTAGTGGTGTCTCTCTAGGGGTAGGGTCTGTGGAAGTGTGTCTGGCGGAGTATTTTGCCTGGCCTCTGCGGGATGGCAGCTATTTGTGCCGCGGGGAGGGGCGCGGCCGCAGGGGGGGGGAGCTGTGCAC